CATTTGTGTTTTTGATCCTTCATTTGTGTGCCACATATATGTGCTGCATATAGTTCATGAGAAATCATAATCTGATTTGGTGTACAGTATGGAGTATCAAATAATATTAAAAATATATGTTTTTGTCCATATTGGATATTTAAATATGCTTTGTCATTAGTGAATGTGGTAAATTGAGTTATTTTTTCAAATTTATTAAATATCAGAAATTACTTTACCAATCAATTTAATCGGTACTGTAAATCCCTGCACAGAATTGCACATTTGTGATGCACTGGTTCCTTTTTCATTTGATAATAGCATGGTAGACTTACTAGCAACCAACTTGAGAACCCCATATTATTATACCTTTATTAATCAACCACAACGTGAACAGCACAAATGCCACATATCTGACTGATTACTGCCATTGCTGGATCATGGTGTCCAAATAGTGACAAAGGTTAAATGCAAATGTAATTATGGTTCATAAAAGAATTATAATTGGAAATATAAATACCATTAATCCTAAAAGTAAATGATGTAAGCCAAAAAATAATTGTATTTGTTTGTATTGAAGTTGACTACTAAAACATTCATTCATTTTGTTTTGCTGTACAAATGGACATGATTATATTTCTGGTGTTACAAGTGACCATTATTTCATACCATTCAGGTCAAGGGTCAGCAAAGTTTGTTAGTCTGGCCATGAACTGTCAATAGTTAATCTCACAGTAAACTGTGTCAATATTTTATTACCCTACATATTTCAGATATTACCAGTATCAGTGCCATATAGATGTTATCAAAAACATACAGTCTTCGTAAATATTTTTTTTCTTTTATTTTTACCAAATGCTGTTTATGAGTGCCAAGCATTCATTTGGTCATGCCTATTTTGCAAAAATATATTTGGACTTTTGTTTTCATTTAATGAAAAAACAAATAACTTGACTTAATGTTTGGATTTTGCTTTCAGACTTGCTTTGGGTGATGTGCATTACGACGTGAAAGTGCACTAATCAGAGAGTGGGATTTGAAACCAGAAGACGATGAATAAATAACATGCCCTATTGTATTATTTTGCTTGGTCTGCATTGACGCTACCCGTGGCAAATGCACGATTTTGTCATGAATGTGACAGTTGCATAACGCCGGTACATAGAGGGTGCCAGGTGTGCAGCGGGTTGAACGTCAGATTGACATATACCCATGTCAGATCAACACAAGTCGAATTAATAACATCCCTAGTCACTATTACGGGATGAAGGAGTGGATCTAACAACTAGATTGACTAGAATCAATTACCAAGTTGGTCATCTAAATATCGCCTCAACTCACTCAGCTCACTGGACCATCTTTCTAAAAACTAAGCATTCAACTGTCACATTGTTAACTACATTTTCTGTGAATGTAATGGAAATATTATTATAGGAATGAGTCATTAAAAAAACTTACCGGTAAAAATATGTCAAGTTTTAGTTTATTTATAGGCCCAAAAATGAATGTCTAAAAAAGACATAGTAATATCTCTAGCATAATCATGCCATCAATGAATTATGGGTGTGGAATATTGTTTTAGGATAGCAGAGAGGTTAAAAAGAAATTACAAAGTATTCAATTTTTATTCAAAGTAAACAGAAATGTGGCAGGACCTGCAGTGTTGGGGGACTTGAGATGGGAAGACTTGAATTACATCTAAGATAAAGTGCGGATTCAATACCTGGATAGACTTCAGAAAATGAAAAACAATAGATGGACTAAAATAGTTTTTAAAGAAATGAATACTCAGTATAAAAACAAAGTTAAACTGGCTTGAAAT